CATGACGTGATCGTAGACGTATATCGCAACGATGGAGTGCATATCTTCATAATTTTAATTTCTTCATAAATTTGACGGGGAGTCTCCCCGTGACCACGGCTGGTGCAAAGCATCCGAAACGTCGGGCCGAAGTTAAAAATCATTTTCAAATAAGTTTAACGAATATATCGCGTTTTAAACCGTTAAAGTGTTTTATTTAAATGTGTATTATTCGCGTAAACCGTAGACAGTATGTACCTAGGTACTAAACATCTCTCATTAGGCTGAATTTAGTAGGGCTACTGTATAATTAATTAACACCATAATATCAATTTAATCCCATTAACTGCCCATAATTGGGATCTCAAGCTGTACTACGTCCCAATACGCTATAATCCCACCCTGTAGTGGTCAAGGTTCTTTTTAAATTCTCATCGCTCGTGCTAAGTCACGTCTTGGTGCAAGCTACCGAAATATTAATACGGGCTGTTTCTTTAGGGCTGTCACAAGCTTGGAAAAATATTAAATATTTGTTTAGGTTGCCCTTGGTTATGATAGCGTGTTTGCGAAACTATGATTAAAGTACGTGATTAAGGCTCCTTCCTGCGTGACCTAGATTTTATGTGGTTTAGAGAACGCGCTTTTCGTCGCGTTTAGGGCGCAATCTCCGAGAAGAGTGTGACCGCATCGATTTAGAGAACCTATTGAAGGCTATATGCCTGTAATTGTATCCCATGTCATCCTATAATCCTAAAAGTATTATCTGTAGTTTTACGAGTAGTATAAATTTAAGTATTACAATTTCGGTTGTTTTGCAACTACCATTGTCACAGGGGGCTTAAACAACGTCGGGCTGTAGTTAAAAAAATAAAAATTTTTTTTCAATAACTAAACATTTTAAACAAGATGATGATTAAAAAAACTGTTTCAAAGATAAATTGATATTCGAGATAGAAATCGACTCCTTATAATATGTACATACTTAAAAAATGGTAGAATTCTATAAGTATTTATGAGCTTCATATTAAATAAATACATGGATAAAGAACTTTTGGATATAAAGAGCATTATAAAAAAACTGTAAAATAGTATTACATGAAAGTTTATTCTAATAATAAACTTTTATAGCCACGCTAATTGTTACTAACAACAGCATACAAAGTCAAAATCTATAACTCCCAAGCCATAAATTCATACGAAGACGTAACATTAAAAGCATTTTTGAACCACTTACGACCAATAAAAAGTCAATTCGTAATAACCACCTCACCATAAAGTGAGGTTATTATTAAATAATTTGTAAACTGTATTTACGATCGTTCAATAAAATTTACAGCCTATTTGATTTATGGTACTCCCAGCCCTAAAGCCTCACCGCTTAGGAATCTATAATACGACTCGAAGCGCGCCGTACGTAAAAGTGAATACGTTACGAACGAGACTACGCCCGCGACTTCGTAAGCGAATTAATAAAAAACACTATCTTGTGTTTATAATGTTTATGATATCTTTAGCCAATACTATATGACAGGTTTGTTGGTGTAATGGTATCAATGTATGGCTATCAACGATTCGTAGGTTCGATCCCCACCGGATACAACGTGTTTCCAATCAAATTACTATGTTTCTGAAACATGTTGGACTTCGTCTGGAAGTCTGTATATTAAATGCGCGCTAGGAATATCGTAATTAAGTAAAATTTCGTCCAGCCATCGAATCCATGAAAATGCCCTAAAATTCATTGCGTTTCGGTTTCAGTGTGTGGTTTTCGAATATCCAAAGCCAAAATAGGCCGATAGCGCATCCTGTTTAGATGTTATATGGCTGGTATTTCACCTACCATCACGTTATACTTGACTCCTATACTATAAATTACTGATCCAATAAAACTTATGTCAAAGAATTTTTTATGTTGTCTGTTATTTTCATCAGACATAATTTTGGTTTTTCATTCGAGTGCTAGTGCCCATATAAAAATCATCTACTACAGTTACTACTACAATTTGTATGTTCATTTGATGGATAGTTAATTAGCTTTGTATTATATTAAATTAGGATGCGCTGTCATGAAATTTGGAGAGCGCTATGTTTCCGCACGATACTGAGACAGAAGGCAGTTATTCCACCACTGGTGAGGAACAACTATCTCATTAGGTACGCTTAGCATTAATACCTTTTTGTTTAGTCTGCCCTTACCGAAAATTATTTTATTTCCCACTTTTCAAATGTGTATTTGCTCGCATTTTCTTACAATGAGATATGTTACTTGCAGCGACAAATATGGAGAAAACGGTGAAAATTATTCAAAAAATATATATAATAAATGTTAGCGATAGTATATGTGTATCTCTTGAGATATACTCACAAAACCCGATTTATGGTAATCAAATTGTGGTGTTAAATTCTTCATATGGGAGAATAACGTTTGTCAACTAGTTCTATCATATTTATCGAGATATAAACTGAAACTTTTAACACACGTTTTACTAATATGATAAGTTCTAGAATTATAAAATCTTCAATATCTTCCCACGCATAAGATTAACATATAAATAGTGACATATAAATCATGGTGCTGCTACTCTAAACATATCGCTTAAGCTAATGCAGTCTATTTTTTATGGGACACAGGTGTATAGCGACGTAGGGCGTTGGAAATTCTACAGAGTTCACAGTTTAAGTGCACTCCATCATTACATAAATGGAAAAGTAATATGTTTCCGAAATTCCCCTAGAAACATAGTCGGCGGCCCTTACCTTGTAACGCTGAGTTGGAGGTTATGAGTACAAAATTCAGCTAGTTTAAAGTATATGAGAACTAGTCAGGTCCGACCATAGGTAACATTATAATATCCTAAGTTATAATAATAAATAAATTTTATGTTGTTAAATAATATCAACTCCTTTTGTCCTTGATGTCAAAAATTAATAAATCGATAACTAGCGACCTGCCCCGGCTTCACACGAAGTACAAGTAAAAATACTATAGAAAAATTGTGATCGTCATCTATAAACCTTGCTCTTAAATCACTCAATCTATTAAAAAACCGCATCAAAATCTGTTTTGTAGTTTTAAAGATTTAAGCGTACATAGGGACAGAAAAAGCGAGTTTATTTACTATACAGTGATAGAGATATTGAACATTATTTTCATTCCACATTTATATTTTTATAGAATACAGTTTTATGAACTAATGACTTGAAACGCGCCTTGAAAAAATTTGAGTGTTCTTTGTAAAATGAGCGGTGATTGGACTTTTGAAAAAATAAGTGGCTCTTATAAACTTCATATCAAACTGTTTGCTAAAATCAACTCGTTGCCGAATTGGTATGCGAAGGCAGGGCAAACATACACATACACTTTCTTATTTATCACACAAGTATTAACTGTTTAACCAAACGGGTAAAATAACAAAAGATTAAAAAATAAACCAAGAACACCAGCCCCTAATACTGAGAAATATTACTCCGATACATTTTTCTCGGTCATTGGTTTTCAATGCGAACGGGAAAAGGCTCGGCTTTGCCAGAACTAAATGTAAACCATTTGAACAGCCTCAATAAAAAAAGCGAAAGAAAATGCCCGCCTACAAGTCAGGTGTTACCGACGAAGGTCGTCATTAATTTCCATTCAATATCGAATCAGAAGTTGAAATAATATCGTCATTACCTTTGCTTGCCTTAGATATTTACGTGTTAATGTCCTACAATGCGATTTTACTGACATACAGAGAGTAGCTATGGATGTTTTTTAGATCAATAAATCATTGTTATCAAAATTCTTAATAATATTTGAAAATCAAAATATTTAATTAAAATATTCTATCTAAGTAAATGTAACAAAATGTTGGGCCTTGATTTAAACAAATTAACCCTCAAGCGAGATTTTCTTTGAATTAGGTGTTACGACACGATACGTCGTACGATTTCTTTACATCTTAACCAGAATAAAACAAATATTACCTTGTCCTACTTTATATTTTTATTCGATATTAGGCTTATAAATTATTTAATGTTTTAACATTTATTGTTAGTGCAAATATTTCGTACGCTAGTCAGAAAGTCAAACGTTATTTGCCAAATTCCTCATACAATACCACAAAGGTCGTATCAAAATCGTAAGCTATAAAAGCCCTCTATGAAAAGCTCTTCATGAGTTATTAGCCAAGTTGCCTGAGCATGGCATTAATTTTGTCTGCTCATTTGTTACGTGCTATATTGACACTGTTATTATGCGAAAGTTTGTTAAGACGGGAATTAAACATGTAAAACCGTATTAAGAATTTCACTCGTGACTTGGGGAGATAGGTTTCGTCTCATGTGTTGTGAAGGCGAGCCGTGTGATAGACGAGTGATTTTAGAACTTGAAGCACATAGTTATTATATATCTATTCTTTATATTAATATGCAATTAAAAGTTTTTAAGAAAAATTTGTAGTAGGAGAAAAAAGACAATTACCGTTTAAAAATGCACTTAACTCATAAAGTAACAACTGTTACTATACTACACACGTCTTTACTCCTTTGTTTATTATTAAACTCTGTGGTAAAAACAGAAAGAATCATGATATTTTTCAACACTAGTAAAAATTAGTCGTTTAAAAAGTCTTGGCTTATTACGTCGTACTTGTATCAAATGATTTATAAAAATCTGCGTGTATTAAGATTACGTTGGTCATTTCCGTAAGTTTTGAAATATCTTTTAAATACTCAGTCATAGAGTTAAAAGCTATTTAGATTGAAAAAAATACGACACGGACGATATTTCTACTGGTGTCCACAGCATTCCTTGATCTAACCAACTGAGCTACCTTGTCATGTCTCAGTGTATGTACTTAAGTTGTATTATACGGACGTTATGTTTTCTTCGTTTAAAATACATTATGTATATAGATCATGCATCAGTAAGTAAAAATCAATACTTTGCAAATAAAAATTTACTCTTCCGGAGATTTACTTTTGCGAAGTTTTATTATTTAGCTGTACAATAAATTGTTGTTGTTCTTCTTGTAAATTGTTAAATGGACGGGCGTTGCTGCAATTCGGAAGCAATCGCGCTACGTGAGTTAGCTCGACCGTTTGTAAAGTTCACCTTATTACATTACCCAGCCTTTAAAAGTAGCATTATGTATATCACTTTGACGGTTTAAAACGCGAACTATATTTGCTATTTCTTTATACCATTCGAATCTGATTTCTCTACTTACTAATAGAATCGATATGTTCGGCCCAAGATTTTATTAACAAAATTATGTAGATTAATCAGATAAGTTTGTCCCCGGAATTCGAAACCAGGACCTCTGGCCCATAACGCATTACCCCCATTTAACCATTGACGAAGACAGTCTACGACAATACTTTCTATATATGCTGTATAATTCATAGCTTATACAAAACATACTAAAATGTTATTTATATTTAAATAAAACACTTTAACAGTTTTAAACGTGATATGTTAGTTAAAATAACACGTTAATATATATATTAGTTTTAAACCGTTATAGTGTTTTATTTAACTACTATAGACAGTATGTTCTTTATATATTAATCTTGTCGCTGATGAAGATTGATAGCAATTTTTGCTGTTTACAAACTCATATCCAAAGCCAACTTACATCGATTCTCAAAGTAATTGGTCTCTCACACTCGATACTAAACCTAATATAACCTTAACATTAATTTTAAAATCGTTGGAATCTACGTGCACAATTCTGAAAAAGCTTTAATCAAGCGAATCGTAGCTCCCTAGAACCGTAGCTTTACAGCGCCTCCTGTTAAATTAATTCTAGAAAGTAGAACTTATTTAATCCTAGCCTTCTCCGCGGTCGGCCAGTCTAGCCTATTCGGTAAATATTTTAATTTAACCTTTGCTTTGGCCATCGTCCAAGCTACTCGTATGTAGATATCGCTTTGTTGCAAGGTCGTTATGTAACACAAGGACGGGTCAGCATAAAAGTACAATTTGTGCCGATTTGACCTTTGCTTATGTAAGATTAGGTTTCACGTCTTTTTTAGTATAAGGAAATGCTTTTTTCAAAGATATGAAAGTGATTTTAACAATACTCCATGCCAAAGTGCTGGACAAATACATGCTTACGAGTGCAATTCAGTTTTGTTTAGTTCTCGTCGGTACAAGGAAAATACTATCCAGAGTGTTAGTACTATTTTTAAAATGTTCGTCTCCTTAGTGCTCTACTAGTTGTTAGTGCTCTACTAGTTGTTAGGTTATAAAATATTTAATATATATAAATAATTTATGATAAGGTAAATACTGTCTATAGTTTACGCGAGTAGTACACATTTAAATAAAACACTTTAACGGTAAAAAACGCGATATATTAGTTAAACTTATGTGAAAATGATTTTTAACTTCAGCCCGTCGTTTCGGATGCTTTGCAGCAGCAGTCTCCCCGTGACCACGGCTAAATCGAATATATCGCGTTTTAAACCGTTAAAGTGTTTTATTTAAATGATAAGGTAATTCTTCTTCTTAATATATCGGATATTGTTAGGAATGTATCAATCTACATTTAGGTTTCAGCCTGTAAATTCCCGAATATCTTAAGCAAATGTAAACGGGATCTTTTTTACAAAATTTTATTTGTCTGGAATATTTCAAGGAAACTTAATCTTTGTTTGTCCTTTTCTGTTTTAAAAAATATAATGTGTAAAATTCAATTTATTAAATTAAACATATAAAATGTGTAGTTAAATTACTTACTCCGCTGGCTCAGCGACCCAAAGTGGGTCTTGGCCTCAGCAACAAGAGAACGCCACTTCCGATCCTGCGTCACGGTTCGCCACTCGGAGACACCGAGTTCCTCCGGGTCAAGCTCAACGGCGTCTTTCCAGCGGTATCTGAGCCGGCCAACAGGTCAACGGCTATTCGTGATTCCGAGATACGCCTTCTTGACGCTTCGGTGCTCTTCCATTATTTCGATGTAGCCGGTCCAACGGAGTTTTTGAGCTGGAGCTTCTCCCATGATGTTAGGGGCGGCAAACATCTTTTCGAGCTCCTCGTTCTTTCGCGGCCGCCAGCTACCGTCTTCCTTCTGTGTCGGTCCCAGAATTTTCCGCAGTATTTTGCGTTCTGCCACTAAAAGCTTTTCCACTTCGTTTTGGCTTCGGATGTCTATTTCCTCAGCCCGTGTATTTGTGTCCGTTATATTGCATCCGAAGTACTTAAATTTAGCAGCGCCTTTAAACTTCATATCTCCAATTCAAAGATCGCTTTTCTGTATGTTGAGTTAAATTAATAATTTATAACTTCAAATAAAATTAGGTATCTTAAATATTATTGCAGATACAGACCCTGCCGTTATTATTTCGTTAATGTACTGGAATCGTGTTTGTATTGATAGTAAAAGACAAATGCAATTTCGCATACAATTTGCGTGGGCACAGATAAACACAATTTATAGCGAGCAATAATCTATACTTCTCACCCGTCGCGTCGCCCACACGAAATATGTTCAGAGTTCTGGTTACGATAAGTATTATAATCCATTTTCGCCATAAAAGAGATGTTTTTCAATGTACTATCTATATTGATAACAAGTAAATTATTTTAAATAATCTTTTATTAATATAAGAGAAAATATATTTCGCAAATTCTGAAGTGACACTAAACTCGGAAACGATAATAAACCACTAATTAAAAATAAGATTCGTAAATTAAAAAAAAACACCTAACTTAATTTAACTGTTTAAAACGTGAATTGTTTTAGTTAAACTTATTTACAGTCTACTCACGACCACAGCTGCTGCAAACGTCGACAGACCGTAATTATAATGATTTGTATATAAGTTTAACTAATACATTTCGCGTTTTAAACCATTAAAATGTTTTATATACAAATGCGTACTCGCGTAAACCACAGACAGTACCTGGTAAATGTTACTATAAAAAAAACTGAGACCTTAATATTAAATCATTTCTGTTTTCTTATTAAATTAACATATTTTGCATTGAAATAGATTTCAAAATTTCTAATTAGTCTCGTCTTAGTCTGCCTAATAAACAAAAGTTACAAAAAAACATAAACTACTCGTGAACCATAAATTAATAGATTAATTTATGGTTCACGAGCGGTAGAATTAATTCTTCGAGCAATCGAGGAGCTAACAACATCTGGTCATGCATGCCGTCCGCTCGTGATGGCGAAACGTCGAGAACCTCTTCTCGCTCACGTCGGCCGAACAGCCCGAAAACAACGATATGCTGAACGATGGCCGTGAAAGCCTTACACAATTTATTAACCTAGCTGTACTAAACTGTAGCCTATCGTAATTAATAAAACTTCGCAGCGCCGTGACGCCATAATCAAAAATGATTTTATAATCGCCGACTACTAATCGAAATTAAGTAATTACCTCCACCCGGCTGAGTGAAGTGCAGGCTTCTCTGTGTGTTCGAGCGTTACACAAAAGATCGTTTAATTTAGTCGGCTATGCCGTCGCGTTTGTAAACACCATTACTGCACTATCTAAAAATCTATTGCAGGCGCTAGCTTTTTTAGACGTCGGAGCGGTCTTTATTAAATTTCAAAGCCACTTTAAGAACAAAGTTCGGGATTGTCTTTTTATTGTATAAATGAATAATAACGTTTATTTTCCTGAGTGCAAAGTTTGCTGTGGGCTTTATTAGGGTTATTCTCTCGAAGTTTACCCTATGCGGGAGATAAAAATGTAACGCGAGAGGATGATAAAGTAAATATAGACTTTGAATAAGTACGCTGTTGTTACCTATGTAATAGTTTATTTTAATATTAATAACAATAACTAAGGGCGAGACAATATTATATACTTTATAAAATTCTCTAATATGACAAACCTGTTAATACCAAAGTTACAGTAAAATGCTAGAGATAAACATGTGCTTAGCATTTCACTATTGCCATATTGCATTATAATATCATAAATAAAGTATAATAAAATGCTTTTAACGGTTTAAAGCGCGAATTACATCAGTTTTTTTACGACCCGACGTTTTAGATGCTTTGTTGAATATATTTGAATATGTTAAGCGTTTTAAACCGTTAAGATTATGTTATTAAATGTGTACTACTCGCGTAAAATACACACAATACGTAGGGTTCTTTATAATTTTTCAGCATAGGTACATTTGTAAGATTATTATTAGAGTTAGACACTGTCTGTAGGTTACGCGAGTAGTACACATTTATATGAAACGCTTACGAACGGTTTAAAACGGGAAGATATTATAAAATAAATAATTATAACTATGGCCGTAGTTGAAATGATTTTCAAATAAGTTTAACTAAAATTTATCGCGTTTTAAACCGTTAAAGTGTTTTATTTGAAATAATTAGAGTTACAATACTGTAAAAGGCATAACTATGACTGTATAAGCTTTCAGAAACGCCTATGAATGCTGAACGTAATAACTAGATTGACATCTGCATGATTCGATTGGAAGTAAAAGAGTCCTATTAGAGCGTGGAATTACGTTCCAATGCGGGCTCGTTTGCATCTCGAGTCGTCAGCACCCCTAGTATGAGTTCGATAGTTAACGAAAGCGTTGAACGTATTCTTAATCGTGCTCTATGGTTTTATTTGTAATTTTTTAGATAAAGAAGCTAGTCTATCTGCCTTACGCTATTGTGTGTTTTGTAAATACTAAAACAATAATTCTATTAGGAATATAGTAGAGTTATTGTTTTCACGGACATTCCTTAGACAGCGCACGCAAGCGGTCGGTAAATTTTTTGAATATTATTATTATTAAACCACGCGATAGATTGCCTAACAGTGAAATAATGGTTTGAAAAGCAGTAGTCACTCCCTTCAACTTATGTTTATCTCTCAATTACGACAATTTTAACGGTTTAAAACACGAAATATATAATTAAAGTAATTTCGGATGAATCGTGGTCCTCCCGTGAGCAGGACTGCGGTAAGAAAGCAGAAAGCATCGGAAACTTCAAGCCGTACTTAAAAATATTTTGTAAATAGGTCAAACTAATACATTTCGCGTTTTAAACCGTTAATAGTGTTTTATTTGAATTACACTTCTTTATATTTTTAATGTAGTATCATTACCTCGAACTGGGGGTACAGGACGTCGTGCACCTAATTTTTATTCAGTCCGACTGCAAGGGGCGCTCGATTGATGCACGCATTGTATTGTAATCGCCATATCATTGCCGGTTATTGTGCATAATCACACCACAATACTCATATTAAATGGCTAGTTGAATATTAATTTAACTTCACGTGGAAATAGTGTTATTCGAGGCCATTGTCGGATGCGGTTTCAATGATTTTATCACGCGCTGTAACTGCTAGATAACGAGAATTTAATTACTATTTATTTATAAAAAAATATGTCAAAAATGTTAGTATCGAACTGTTTTTTATGATAGAGGAGGTCAGACAATCTCGGGGCTCACTTGACTAAACAAGATTCGCTATCGACCAATTTTGGTTTTGGATATTCGGAAATCCACAGACTGAACTCCACGGCTTTTTTATCTGTTGACAGTGGTTTCGGTTCGGTTACGCAATTGCGATATTCCTACTATTGAATATCCACATTTCCATACGAAGTCTTAACATGTTTCAGAAAAATTATAAATTACTTAAAAACATTCAAATAAAACACTTTACCGGTTTATAACGCGATATATTAGTTAAACTTATTTGAAATTGATTTTTTCGGCCCGACGTTTCGGATGCTTTGCTTCGAAACTCCCCGTGACCACGGCTGCTGCAAAGCATCCGAAACGCCGTTAAAGTGTTTTATTTAAATGTGTACTACTCGCGTAAACTATAGACAGTATTTACTTGAAACATGTTGGACCCGGTGGGGATTGAACTCACGTCCTCTTGATTAGCCATACATTTCTACCCACCAACGAGCCCGTCGATAACTTTTAGTGTGGACCTTGCGAGTGCTTAAGGCTAGCTGATAAGATTGAAGAAACTTATTTTTAGTATTTATGTTGTCTTAGTATTTAGTTAGTATATCCGACGTGTATTTGTCATATATTAATAGTTTGACGATATAAATGGCCTGGTATTATAAAAGTTTTTAAAATTATATACGTTTATTGTGGGGATCTACAGAGACAAATAATAAAAAAAGTTAATTTCAATATTAAACCATTTACAAACAAGATATTTTGCGGGTCCATTAACAATGTATTAGGTATATTTTACATTCACATAATAAGCTTAAAATGATGCCAATTTTATAAACGTCTGAAGCGAAAATCTTACCTTACTTAAAGTCCATAGAGCTTGAAGCATTTCTTGTCTGTCATTAAAATAAACACGTTTACTATTTCTTAGTTGATACAAAATGCTAAAGTCTAAATTTATTTCCGATGAATAGCGAAAAGAACTCGAATCGACTACAATAGTAACTTCGTCAAAAAAGTTCGCTCCATGGCTTGTAGGGAACTCTTCCGCAAAATGTTTTGCAATTGTGTGAAGTTCTGAGATCTTCGCACGCTCTGTATTGTAATTGCTTTTTATAAGTACCACAAACAGACACACAAAGATTTTGATTTCCTACTATTTCAATAATACTTTCAGCCTAAGATAGACATATTTCTGTGCCCGTTTGACATAAAAAATAACAACCTCTCTCCATACGAGACAGTGGGAGTTAAGTAAAGCACGGGTTATAAATGCATAATTTGCTATTTGCTAACAAACATATTAACTTGAAACATTAAATATAAGTATTTAGAGTTCAAGAATTTTATTACCAGGGGAATATTTCGTCACATACGATAACATATAGAAAGTAGTAAAAGTAATTACAGTGATATACAACAACTAGATATGACCTACCATTAAAACACAAAGATCCTCTTGCCTCGTCTAGAGATTACAAACACATACGTTTCTAGATTCACAATGCTTATAACGTTAAAAGACGAAGATTAACACTAAAGAAGTTTAAATTAAAAGGGTTTACTTCGGTCAATAATATTGGAGATAAGTTTTAATCCGTAGAACTAACTTAAGCTTAGCTTACACTTAGCTTTGGCAAAAGTTACTTTATCATTAGCATAATAACAAAGAGATACCGAAGCTGAGACTAACCTTATGTATATTGTTAACTTAAGCCCGTGTGAGATATAGTTTGGACTAAAGTTTTTAGTCGGATTTTATTCGAGATTTCAGATATTATTGTGGCTAACAAAATTTTGCAATTCATACAAATAATTCTTGAGACCAGCGCGTTCAAACAAATAAAAAACAAACTCTTCAGTTTTAAAATATTAGTTTAGCATAGTTATCAAACTTTTCGATATTGGAACCCCAGAACTTTTAGCGGTGCTAAGCGACGTGTCTTACTGATCCATTGAAATATTTAATGCTTCCTAAAAATACTTTTATCCCTGTATTTCAAACGTTCCACTTTTAAGAATTTTTGATACGCAAAATTTGTTTCTCACTTCTCTGTAGCGTGTTAGCGTGGAGCTTTAGTGACATTTCCGAAAAACTTGCTGAACGTTTCGTCCAAACGCCAATCGTGGTGATTAGTCGATTTTCGCAAGATTGATGCTGCAAAAACGAAATACCATTTTAAACTCAATTGAACAGCTGAAATTTGTACTCGGACGGCACAAAATTTCTCTAAAATAAAATTCCTTACTGCGCATTTGTTTCTTGTCGTCTGTATATACATACGATATAAATAAACTACAGATACAATTCAAGATATATTTGGAAATATGCTCAACATAGCACCAAAAACACGAATGCTATTATTGAAAATGAATGATCAAATAGTTATTAATAGAAATAAGCTAAATAGTGATTGCGTAATTATTATTATTTCTGTTGACGCGATCCATTTAACTTTCAGCTGCAGACTGTATAAATTGTATTACCATATTACATTTTCAGTCTATGTTTTGATAGCGTATTAAATTTCGCATTTTAATTAGTTCTATATTAATTATTGTTGTGTATGTATTTTTGAAATAAAAGTCTAATGAATACCTATTTTCAAAATAATGAACAAACTGCAAGACAATGGAATATAAAAATACACCATTATACCTAATTATTTGCAATATCTCATCGTAGTACATGAGGCTGACATACTTTTGTGTCTGTTTTTGAGCGTCTTTATTTTACCTACATGACAGTGTTTAATCAGAATTATCTATAATAGAATACTAACGGCCGAGTATTCGTATTTTCAGTACATACCATTTCCTTAAGTTCTATTGTAGAATATCTTAAATCTAATAATATTTATAATATCTTGTTGAGATATTATATGGCTGAAGTATTTCACCTTCCATAAAGTGAACCCTACGTAGTTTGTTCTCCTTTAAAAAAAATAAAAATCATTTAACGGTTTAAAACGCGAAAGTTATTAGTTAATATACTAAACGACGCATTTTTAAACGTAAAAGTAAAGTTTTATTTTAAATGTGTTCTAATCCTGTTTACCACCGACATTTTAATTAACTTTTAAATTGTTTAAAAAAATTATAATTTTTGTTATACTAAATATTACCTTTGTCCGCAGGTTGTACCTTCCCGTCTCGATGGCAAGGCAAATGGTTCCAGTCAGGAGTGATCCAGCCCATTCTCATTGAAGGAAACATACTGTCTAACAAGGGACGTTGTCTGTCGTCTGAAGGGGATAAGTTTCTCATTGTTGATGAGTAAGTACACATTCTGCTGAAGTTCCGTACGTGGGATTCACAATTCTGTGTAGCATTGACCGATTTTTATTTAAAAATATACTACTTTTAAACTAAGATTTAAATCCAAGTCCTTTTCTCACGCAACGTGAGACAAAGCCTTACCACTGAACCATCAAAGGGGGCAGCTTCAATTGATAAATGTGTTGACAAACTTGTGTTGACAACTTATAAGGTGTCTCAAGTATCAGCTCTCTTTGTTCTACACGTATATAGTCTTCTTGTTAGATGTAAAGCGATGCGACATGTTAGTCTAATTTAAATACTAGGTTATAACGCTTCTTTGCTTTTTGAAGAGTTTGGCCGTCATATTAAGAGTTTTCAATGCAATGTCAGTTTGATTACGATAGCTCAATGGCTATTTGACCAACACAATTTTGAAAACTTTAATATTTTTTACATGTTATTGCACATGAAGGCACTATATAATTGAGCTACCGAGCAACAGCACGGAACGCTGACAATTCCGGTTCAAGTCCTGCCTGAGTCGAAAATGTTTTCAATTTATTTTCGATTTCTAAAACAAAACTTATTTCTAGGCGACCAATACTTTTCAGAGATTCTTTTAACATTTTTCTTATTCAAATGTTATCGATCTGTAACATAGTACTATTTGTGATGACATAAAATATACATTCTAACAATTAAATGCCGTGTCATTCCGTTTGTCCTTACAGGTCTGAATTATGTTCCCCGTTATCTATGTTAAATTTTATGAAATAAAGCCAAGTTGAGCAATAATTTAAATGGCTGAATTATACAGAGATCATTGTCTCCTCGAATATTTCTGCAGAGCGATTCATCGATAAAATCTCAAATGAAGACATTCATAATGGGCCCTTACGATGTCATGTTTATTTTGATTGTCAACTGCTATTTGATGAGGTGACTTCAATAAACGTTTTAAAGCTGAAGAGTTTGATTATTAGGAACGAATCCAAAAATTATTTTTATTTTGTATGAGTTAGAGCATTTATCGAGGAAGGCTTTATAAAACATCACGCTGCGATCTATAAGCGCGAAGGAAAAGTGAGGAATGTTGAAAAACGGGGAAAAATAAGTTCCGCGTGTCCATTGCGTAAGCTGCGAAAACAAGATACCCAATAAACATTTATAAAAGAATGCGGGCATTTATTAAGAATCATAAATGAGGAATATTTAATGATTCTTAATAAATGCCCGCGGCAGTATGGCGGCCTATCTTGTAAGATTTATTTGCAAGGAACAGAATGCGGACGATGTCGTGGGTAACACCTAGTATCTTATACAAAATAATTCGTATTTAATCAGTAACTTGCAAAGAAAAAAAGCCTTTATGCATCAAAAATTATATTATAATCTTATGGAATAAAATCGCATTATAAAACACTTCCACACAAAGTGTGAAGTTAGCAAATAAAACCCGAATCGCTCCTCCAAACGTCTCTAACATATTTCTTCTACCGCGTACAAGTGCATATGTCACTTGTTACAAAGACAGCAATATTTTCTAGTACAACTGGGAATCGAACCAACACTGTCAAGTGCACATAGCGTTAAGTTGGCACGTCTCGAGTTTTACATATAGGAAATGCATTGATTTAGTACGTGATCCCTTTAGTTATGTCGATTTTCTGTTTATTGTAGGAAGGGGTGTTATCGCTGCGTTGTGATGCACGAAAAACACATTAATGTTCTTCAATATAAAGAAAGTAAGTAAAATTAATATTTGTAAACTTACATTGTATTTACTTATACGAGTAGTTAATAAGACTCTTGTGCCCTACCGGATTCAAATCATTTGCTGTTTATCGTAAGGATTTCCGCAACCTAGGACTATTAAATAGCAAAGTGTATAAATCAGGTCAAACTATATAAATGTAATATCCCGTTGCCCCACCTGGGGCATAGGACACGTTTGTGTGTCCATTTCACTGATCGGTTTTATTTACAGACAAGTAGTTGGTCAGACTTCAATGCCCGACCAAAACAATTTATAGGTTCCGTCGAGCAGGATTAATAAAACAAGTTTAAAACTCGCGACAGATATATTCTGCAACGTTAAGATTAACTGACATTACTATATCTATTTTCAGCATTTTGCCACCGCCGGGATGCTCTGCCTCATCTCTGCTCCCTCATCACAGGAGATGCCCTTCTCTATTCCATGTTCAGAGAAAATGCTGAGCCTGTCGATTGTCCGCTAAAAGCTCCGTTTTCCTTTACATATAACAGGTACATTAGTTTGCCACCCCAAGTATGTTAGGCATTTAAAGTCTTACGTTTTTGGGATTCGGAATTTACACTATTCAAGAATACACCACTAGTTTTGGTAGTCTTCTTCTAAATACTCGAGCATAAAACATTACTTCATATTATATATATCTACTAGCTGACCCGACAAACGTTGTTTTGCCATATAAATAATTTTACTAAAATGGCTATTAAAAAATAAAGGTCGATCGTAGAAGAGTGAGGATTGTAGTCATAAAAAAATAGAAATTAAAAAATTTGTCTAAAAAAAATTATGATGAAAAATAGATGTTGGCCGATTCTCATAGATAAGCACAAAAAAATCATCAAAGGAAATTATTTTTAACTTCGGCCCGACGTTTCATTCAATTTTCTTTCATAGAATCAATAACTTTTTCAAGCACACATTTAAACATTACCACATTTGAAACGGTAAATATACAAAAAAAATATTGGTACTATGCTATAGTTTTTTATTAATTTAAGATGAGTTTACTAAATTATCAGATAACAATCGCGATGTATGTCTGTAAATCTTTAGTTAACCTTAACGGGTCGTAGTATAATCACATTGATTAAATATTATAGTTCGAATTTTGTAACCATTGAACGTGTTTTCTTGTATTGTAGAGTACTACTTGTTAGAGCTTAACAGGTAGCAAATATGTGATTCATATTAGTAAATTGCATATTCTGTGGAAGGGAACAAAACGCAGAGAGCGTGTGAATTTTTTAGATAGGCAACACAATTTCGTAGTTTCTCGAAGGCTACACTGTAACATTCAACAATACGACCATATAAAGTGAATTGGGAATATTCATGAAAGAAATATGGTACAACTCCTTATTTCAATCCTTTCATAAATAAGTAGAGATTTGTCTGTACAATGAAATTATGAAAACTTCAATAGTTTTAACATTGCACATGATGGCATTATATAAATTTTAAATTTGTTCCGATTAAATCAAACTTTGTGCCTAAGGTGTATGTATCAATAGGTTACAGAAATTCGACGGTGGATAACCATTTCAAGTCTTGCCCACGCTGTCAAATTTTTGCGATCTAAACAAATTTTTAATTTACTCAGATGATAATAACTTAAATATTGGCCATATAGAAAAGGACAAACTAGAAAAAAAATGCCGTAGATCTTTTTACAATAAAACTATTGGCAAAATATTTAATGATTGCTTCTACAGTACAGTAAAAAAGATCATAGTCATATTTCCACTATTAACCAATATAAGCCTCTACGCGCTTTAATTTTACTTAATTTACCTACAACCTTTGATAGATCTAACTTGTAGGAAATGACGTGAGTTTTAAGGTATATTGGGATTTTTCCGAATGTACCAATTAGGTCAAAAGCGTCTTCTAGTTTCACGTTGATAGATTGGTTTGCTTTTCATTTAGAACTAAGTAGAATGTTTGTTTTAAATTTTAGAAAATGAAAACTGTTGTCTGCACGAGTGGAACGTAACATAAAATACTTTTTGTCTGATTGAAAGGCGAAATTTATATTAATAGTTAGAAAAAACTGTTTCAAACCGTAAGTATCAATAGTAAAGAACAAAATATTTTTTTGTATTTATCAATATTTTTTGACTTTGTATAGATATATATTTGGAGTATTTCCCCCTCAATTTAAAACACTTAAGAAAATCGTTTTTCACAGACTATAATAAAGAAAATACTAAAAAGACAAATTTACTATGATTGTATTAAACGTTAAACAATGTTAAACTATGTTTTTACCATAGTGGAAACGGTTCTAACTTCTGAGTGACAATTTTCCATAGAGTGTATTGACGTGGGGGAAAATTAAAATGCCATTACACGAATCGATCGGCTGGGGTGCTGACAGACGTCATTCGTAATTACAGCCCCGCACTCTCAAATGTTTTATTTCGAACCAAGTATGGGTTCGAACTGTTTGATTTTCAATATTACAGTAGCGAGCTATTTTGCGTTTTACAAATTAATTACAGGGTACACAATCGTCGTCTCTATTTAATAAAACAAAATTTACAAAAATATACTTTACTCGACCATAGTTTCAACAGTTAAACTGTTCGCCTTCAACAATCCTTGAGTTCAATAGTTACAGGTTTTTGGTTCGAATTTGCGGAATACAAAATCGGCCTTGCAGGACAAAAGTCTCATAAATTTTCTTATAAGTGCTAGCTCATAAAATCGAGCAGTGTATATACATATAAAGGCACAGAACAGTGCCCGCCCCCTGCTCATATAGGGAAAATAGATTTCGATTTGAAGTCTTAACTACGTCAAAATATCTTGTTTCTTCGTTTTACTCATTAGATTCTTAAATTAATTACACTTCGCATAACTCATGGCTACTTAACGAAGCAATAATTAAGAATTTTTAATGAGATAAATCTACTTATGATGTACTTGTTGCTACGAGAAATATCTCCTAATATATATATTATTATATCTATCTCTTCCTCGTCGTTATATAAAATTAACCTTTATTCCACAGAGGCCATGGTGACTGCAAATTTCCAGCATCATCCATTGAGAGTTGTACAGAAGATTCTAGACTATTACTAAACTATCAAGCGTGTCCAGACGTCTATGGATCAGAGAGTACAGGTAAGTTATATAAAGAAGATTCTTAACAATACTATATTTAATACTATTATTATCACATTTCCATTTCTGGGGCTAGAGATGTGTCATCAAATTTTCATTCCAGAGTCAGAGCTAGGTTTATCTTTAAAATATTCATGGTTTTGTCGCCCGGGAATCGTACTCCGGAAGTCGCCTACACATTCCACTAAACCAACACGACTATACAGTTTAAATAAAAAGAAGCCGAAAAGTAAATAAAACACTTTAACGGTTTAAAACGCAATGTATAAATAATTGGTTTTCTTTATTCTTTTATTTTAGAAATTTCGCCACGTTTATGAAGCTGCGTATTTTTTCTCCGTCGAATATAAAGCCAAACACCTATAGTCCCCATCATATTTAAATATTGTACTTCAATAAACATATTCGACTTTAGTAGCTCAAATAGTTAAAGTTTTAACTAGCAAAAACCAACGTATCTGGTTTACCGTTGCAATCAAATTCTATTAAAAACCGTTTCTAATGAGTGAGATCGATTTGGTAAATTAGTTCGGCAATAAATAAACTTGTTACTCAGTCTATTTGTGAAATAAAAAAAGGTCAGAATGTGCCGCTCATCTACGGGCAGACAGCCAAAGATAGGCGTCCATTGTTTCGACGCGTGGTTTAAAAATACCTATCGAATACAGAATTTCAGAGGGCTTATACAAAAATCAAAGCGAATGTAAGCATAGCGAGGATTAGGTATGCTTTATTTTATTTTTACCTTTTTTATTATATTTTTTTTACAATAGAGGTAGACAAATAAGCATGGGATTCATTTCATGGAGAGTGAAGTATCACAGCCGTATAAAATTTATCAAGATGTGCTATCGACCTATTTTAACTCTGGATTTTCGGAAATCTCCAGACTGAAGCCTAAACGCGATTAAACTGCACGGCTTTTCTATCTATTCACGGACTACTTCCTACCACCCATTTGATAAGCAGATTTCCAGGCGACGATACAAATATTAAGAGACATACAATACTAATGTTTAAAAGCTTTAATATTTTTCACATGCTATTGCATGTGTAATTCTTCCTTCGAGCTTTCATTTGAAATCACTATATAATTTAAAAATCGAAAATAAATTGAATAAAGCAGGGCAGGACTTGAACCGGCATTGTCAGCATTCCGTGGTGTTGCTCTTCCAAATTGAGCTACCTAGACCTAAACTAAAATACAATACTAATATTCAAAACAAATAATAATATAATAAAATTCTAATATAAACAATTTTTTTCAAATTTCAAAACTAATTAAAAGTTAACTTATTAAATTATTAAAGTGTTTTGATTTAAATCAAACTAGAGATACAAAACCATATGAAATTTGATAAATGCAATTTGTTCTAAATTGAAACTTCGTTTTGTTTTATTGAATAATATTAAATAAAGCGTTTTAAAATGTTGCTTTTAATTCCTCCGTAAACAACCGAGTAGCGTGGAATAGAAAATTTGATGAAGTTGCTTTTGTTTTGTAATGTCTACGAAATGCTAATTAACATAATTAAATTCCATCGCATTTGCTCCCACTGTGTAAAACGTGAAAAAATTCGCCGAGTTTTAACGTAAATATAAATAGCTTTATTTCAAAACGTACTGAAATCCAAGCAGAGCTTAAGAATTTAGTTACTTCTGGAGAAATCTCGTAGTGCTTCACGAAGATGAATACTGATTTCGTATTATTTATAGAAAGTCAAACAAAAGACTAGGTCTTGAGCAACTGGGTCATATTTCTATTTAGTACATAATTTCTTTCAAAGTTAAAAGCACTGTTGAACTTTGTCAGTTGTATGGCTTCTTGTTTAGATCCAGTTTATAAAATAATTATTTTTCGCTTCAGCGTTATTAATAAAATTCGCTTTATTAATGGACAAATTTTCCTTACACACTGTTTAAAATAACACAAATTAAAAATCTATATAGAAAAAAACGTACACGAGCAAGATTTGAGCCGGCTTCCACAGCCTTCCGTGCTGCTACTCTAACGAATTGAACTACCGGGTCACGACTAAATACATTTTGTATTTTTATAAATAACACGAGAAAAATATTAAAGTTTTAAAAGTATACAATTTACTAGTGCTATAGCAGGATAAGTAATTGATAAAATTTTGTTGCGCAAATATATTTTACTAGCTGTGTCAGCGACTTCGTCCGCGTTATAGGATATTTATTTTAGGCATAAATTTGTTTTGCGTAACCTGACTCTCATCCCGCACGTCCCGTCATTATTGCAAGTTAATCATAAAAGACAAACCTTTTTAGATCATTTAAGGAGGACATATTATTTAGGTATTTTGAAGCGTTTCCGCATTTAAGATAAATAGTAGTGAGAACGCAATTTTTATATCATATAGACATCGTCAATAAATGTTTTAACGAACACAAAACGACTTTTTCAATTCGAACCAGTAGTTCCTGAGATTAGCGCGTTCAAACAGACAAACTCTTCACCTTATATATTAGAAGAGTATAGATACGCCCCAAACATGAACTGGCGTTCTTTTGTTTTAAAAGCTTTCAGAGTCGCAGCGACTTGCTTTAGTCGCACACATAACCGAATCGTATTAGATAACTTTAAAGCTTAAATTATCTGTTTGCAAGAAATGGAGTTACGAGAAAGTTTGGCGTAAAATTGTCCCTGTCGCATATCAAGACTGAACTAAGTGTTCAATCTTGATATCCACGTTTAGCTTCGCCGTGAAAATCGTCTGATTGATATCGCCTTCGATCCGCCAACTTTCAGGTTGAGAGGTTTCTGTGTTGATTTGACAGAAGCTCTAATTAGCATTGACCGCCTCTGTAGGCAAATGGTTAAATGTATTGCCTTGCATTGCGTTATGCACGAGAGGTCCTGGGTTCGAATCCCAGGGAAACATAGAATTGTTTCGGTCGGGCAGGGTACAAAAGTCTGATCAACTACTTGCCCCTTAAAAAGAAAGGATCAGTGAAACGGACACAGAAATGTGTTCGCCCCATGCCCCACGAGGGGGAAACGGGCTTTCACACTTTTCTGATTAGCATTATGATGAAGAGAAGGCAGGTTTTATTTCTTTATGTGAAATTGTTAAATAAATATGTTAACACTGACATTCTATTTTATCAACTTCAAATTTGCATTTCAAATAAATCCATTTCGAATCTATACTAAAATGAAGCTGAAGAGTTTGTTTGTTTGAACGCGCTAATCTAGAAAAAAATGTCGATATATATTTTCAGTATTAAATTATAAAATAACCGAAGAAACTGCGGGAAATGTGGAAAAAAGAGGGGAAATTATTCACCCTTCTGGGTTTCCGTTGCGTACGCTGCGAAAACGGTTCAAGATATCGAAAAAAAAATTGTTTGAAGGGATTATTACCTTTAAATGGTATAAAATGTCCGCGGAAGTATGTCTCTCTTTTAAGATTGACTTGCAAGACGACGGGAGGTGGAGAACGTCATGGGTAACAGCTGAAAGTAGATAGAGTTGAACAAGTTTGTAAAAACAAACGTTGATGCCCAAAATAACTATTCTACGTGGACGAAGTCGCTGTCACAGCTAGTGAAAATATATATCTTTAATGGTTTATCAGCAACGTAGCAACTGTTCACTCATATCATACATACGTATAGTATATTGTTCCTCATTTTCGTAATCATCTAGAGAATAATGACGAATAAAATTGTCGGTCTACTTTTTTAATTTATTTAAAGACCCGACGTTTCGTATGCCCCTGCTGCCTAGCGAGAACTAGAGACAATATTTAATTTTTATAAAGTTATGGCATATTTCTCTTCAATTTGAAGATAAAAAATTTTACAATTGTCAAAATAAATGTAACGGAAAGACGATAAAAATGTAAATCTAACTTAAAAGTCAATTAACTTAGTCTATTGAAGCCATCGCGGTGCACAAAAGGCGGGGACATTAATTTTATCGAAACAAAGCGCGCCGCGACCAAGTGACAGACGGGCCGCGTCAGCGTATACAGAAAATACACTTCTATTAATTGTTACGATTCTAGTTCACTTTTGGCGCGTGGCTTGGCTGAAGTTTATCGAATTAAGCTTAAAATGTATTGTTTGTTTAAACGGCTGTCTTGGTCTAAGTAGTAGCAATTTTTATACGACTACGAGCATGATTCACTTGATGGTAGATGAAATTGCCCAGCTGTTTTGGCCTATTAATCCATAGACTGACTGACTTTTCCATCTGTGGACGATAGTTCGAGACCCGGACGGAATTTCCATATCCCATTCCCCCCCCCCCTCATTTAATATCCAGATTTCTAGACGAAAGTCAACATGCTTTTAGACAAATGGTGGACTCGGTGGAGCCTGTCAAATTGTGGTTAATAAACGGCTCGATCCGTTCAATTCCACTTCACCCCGATCATTTTCTGTTTTTTCATTGAGGCTTAGACGAGTCTAGATAATCTGGAAATCGGTAGATGTATTGAAAAAGCGACCGGGTCACGTACCACCGTTCACAAGGAGAAAGCCGCGATAAGTAAATTCACATTTCGACCAGATTGGGGATTTAAAAATAAATCGACAGCGCACCTTATTAAGGTTTTATAGGCCCTGGGCATTTTAAAAATTCCTAAAACAATCCTCAAGCATATCTCTGCCATAAAAATCTTAGATTATTGAAAACTTAAATTTTGTTATGTTACCAAGAACAACCTTTCAACACTAGGTATATAGTTTGTTTTTACATTTCTAATTCGTTATAGTCTACTATAACGTCGTAATAAGCAAACATATTAATCACGATCAACTAGCCGATATACTATGTATACTAAAGTACCTACTCTAAAGCACTCCCAAGATCCAACCCACGCAAAAATAAATTTTCCATTCCAACCACTAAGTCCTGAGATTAGCGTGTTCAAACATACAAACTCTTCAGCTTTATATTAATATAGATTATTATATTTTTATAAACTTAAGCTGTTACCCAACGACGTCTTCTTGAAAGTTAATCTTAAAAGATAGACATATAGTGTCGCGGACTTTTTTTTTTGATGATAATATATTATCATCTAAAAAAAGTAAAAAAATATTAATCGAAAAGATAATAAATATGTTTTGTTAGTAAAAACACTGAAACACAATCTTATAATTGAAATAATAAAACCCATTCGCCAAAGATGTAATTAATTGTTTTCATTTCTCGGCGAGTCCTGTAATAATAGAGTCAGCTTATTTATGGAATAAATCTGAGACGCGACGCTACGTAAGAGCCACAAAGAGATTGCTCTTACGCTGCAATAGCTTAAAATAGAGTCATTTGTAGTGCTTCCCTTGCGATGTATTTGTCGCGCAATTGTACTTTGGAAAAAGTCGACTATTTATATGGTACACGTATACACTTGGAGTTCTACGTTTTACCAGGGATGGTGGTGTTTTTAGTTGTTCTGGTAGACTCTCGCCTCTGGTAGGGTTTGTACTACCAGCTCAAACATGGAGGTAGTAGTGTGATCTACCACATCACGTCAAAATTGCTCGACGTAGGCGTGTATTATGCATTCACACAAACACCAAAAAAGAGATTATGACGATGTCCTTTCATTTAGGAACAATGTTTATAAAGAAATACGAAATAAATATAGTTTTCCGAAGGAATGACAAACAATTACAAACTATTTCTACTATATTGCGCGAGAGGTACTCGTGCTGTAGGACTCGGTAGCTCAATTGGTAGAACGCTGACGATGTCGGAAATTTTTTTCAATTTATTTTCGATTTTCAAATTACAAACTAAGCATTTATTGGTATGGGTCACTGTCGTCACATTTAGTTATCCACATACATTAAAAATGTGGCAAATAAAATAGTTTTGCCATGGACGTTTCTGGCAGAGTTTAAGCGAATTCAATAATTTAGTATTATGACTTGTTATTATCTACTAGCTGTGTCAGCGACTTCGTCCGCGTAGTTTACTACTTCGTTTGTCATATCCAAATTTGTTTTTGTCTTTATAAATTTTAGCTATTTCCCGCGACATCGAAACAAACTCTATACTCTTGCTTTCTCTAATGCTGATTTTTGTACTGTAATAAAAAAATATTATATTTAGTACGTCAGGTTCAGTGCTAAGTTTTTCTAATCTTATTGAATAATATAAAATCTTTAGATAAGCTTTAATCACTGACAGTCGGTTAGTCGGTAGAATTATTTGTCTAAAATTTTGGTTATATTGTTTATACTGCAATCAAATATTCCAGTCGAGGAGCTGGAGTGCCTCGCTACATGGAAGGAAGGCAGCCTCAGATTCCTAGTGGGAAAACTCCACCACAACCACGCGACCAGCAACGAAGATCGATACCGCTGCTTCGTGTACGAGAAGACAAATGGTATTGGTAAGACTTTACTCTTTTTTTCTTTTCGCTTTTGATTTGTCCGGCTTCTTAATAGTTGTAGGCATTTTCATTTGAATGTCGATGTTCTTTTGTTTTCTTTGAGCATGAATGTATACAAATGTATATACATTTTATTTCTTCGAAAATATCTTTAAAAACGAAAAAAATACGTATTTAAACTTCAACAATTAAAACTTAATAACCATCATAGATTATGAGATAAAATTATTGATTACAACAAACATAATGCAACCAAAAACAAGCCATTTTGCTTATAAATGTGTATTACAATTATAAAAATATATTAGTAGATACCTCGTAGTCAAATCAATAACATCAAATGACATGAACATGAAAAATATGAACACTTGAAAATTGGTTATTTTTCTATTCTATTCAAGATGTATAAAATATAAATCTCTAATTAGGAACCCTAGTTTATAATCCACATCTTAGCTTTATGGCTCTTGTTAATATATTCCTTACTTCTAGGGTCATCTCCTGGTCTTAAAGAAAGTCCAGTTTCTCCAGGCGGAGTGGAATATCGAGTTGCCCAGTCAGGAGACGCTACATGCAATGGTCTTTTCAGTGCCACTGAAGGTTCGAGGACTATGGCTTTAAAAAGGGGTACGTCTACCTTTTTGTTACTTTAAGTTTAGTATTTAATCGTCGTTTACTAATGTAACTTACGTTTCTTAAATACTGTCCGTAGGTTACGCATGTAGTACACATTTAAATAAACCACTTTACCGGTTTAAAACGCGATATATATTAAACTTTAAAAAATCGCGTAAATATCGCGTTTTAAACGGTTAAAGTGTTTTATTGAAATAACATTTCGTAGTTAGGTAGTAATTATACAAAAAAATAATTTAATCTAAAACATACATATAATTTGTGTCCGATAATATCTGAAATATTAATATTATTTTATTGTAAAGAGATTTAGATACCGTGTTGTGTCAACATACAGAACAAGAACTATATGTTTGTTTGTTCTAAAACTAATAGATCAGTTTTACTAGTACTCTTTTGTACATAGTTTTAGTTAGTAAGACCCTTTGAAGTCTAAATATCAAAAGCCAAAATAGGTAGACACCGCTTATTGTTTAGATGGTTTATGTCTGGGACCTTCCATCAAATATGCTTCATACTTATGTCCTCCTCTAATCGGTATCAGGGTTCCTTTGTATCTGCAGTCATTGATATATATATAAATTTCAGTTTCAGTGAGATTCAATTGTCAATTCCCTTCCTGGATGACGTTCTCTCATACCTGGCACACCCTGGACTTCACGAGCAATTACACATTTTATCAGCGAAACGCAACATTGCGGATTACAAACCAAACTGGGGCAGAGATTAAAGTATTTTGTGTGAATGTTAAAGCAAGTTCGCCAAGTGGTAATTCGGTTGCCTTGGTTGCGCACTGGCAGCATCATTGGTAAGTTAAATTGAGCTTCCCTATTTTCTGGTCTTGGGGCTTCTGTATAACTGACCCTGCCTTATGTGTCCTTCATTTAAGTAACAATTCTGTTTCCCATCGATTTTAACTCAGAACCTGTTGTTTATACAAGATACTGAAAATACAAAAGTTTCAGGCTGTCCATTTTAATACTGCCTTGAATTTATACTAAAAAAATTAACAGACAGTGCTATAGCTACGTGAATCGTACACAATAACTAAAAATATGTTATCGAATACAGTCTGTAGTTTACCGTTTAAGTGTTTTATTACATTTACACATTTAAATTAAACATATTAACGGTTTAAAACGCAATATATTCGTTTGCCATTAGAGACACCCTCCGTCGTTAGTTTCCCCGTGACCACGTCTTTTACAAAGAATCCGAAACGTCAGACCCGAGTTAAAATAATATCCAAATAAGCTTTACCCATATATATCGCGTCTTAAACCGTTAAAGTGTTGTGTTTACATCTTTTATCGATTCAAAACGCGAATGATATCAGTTAATTTATACCGCCACCTGATACTTTTGCACCGTACACATACGTTACGCGTTTGAAACCGTTAAAAGCGATTTATTTAGAGGATAAATATTTAGATATCACTGCTGCTACGTTAAGAAGTAAATGTAACATTTTATGTATTACAGTGTGTCCCGCTATGTATGTGTGGTGTTGTATAGACGAGATACATACATAGCAGAACTGCAAAGAGGCTCTCCAACCTCAAGACCTGATGACGCGTGCTCTCCTCATCATTTTAATGCTGTTACCGCTCCGTACATAACTTTAGTTGGTAAGAATCGTGTTTAATTAATTACACTTTTATCTTACATGTTATCCATTTAGACAGAAACATATATAATATGTAGGGAATTATGCGAGCACCACAATAAAATAATAAAATATAGCTAAAGCTTTAATTTTGTCTTCCTGTTTAAACAATACATCTTAGCTCTTTACGTCCTACGATAGCGAATTAAGAATTCGCCATCTTTGATCTCACACTCTCCGTCCCTTTCACATACATCCTCTCGCTCATTCTTATATTTTATTCCAGACATTCTACAAATATGTAATAATATCTTTAATAGATTTAAACTTGAAGTTCATTCGCACTTGACTCTTAGTAAATAACTGAAACTTAAGTTCAAGTCAAGAAGAACTCATTTTCAGCTAGTCAGCCTTTTTAGGCCGAAGGAACATCGAAATTGAGAATTTCTGCCACCACCAATTTAACACTTGTCAGTTCTCTATATCATAAAAAAAAATATTATAATCTAATTTTTCTTTTCAGCGAGCAACCCCGAATCAAAAGAGTGTCCATACTCAGGGAAATACACGATATCGAACCACAGACACCAGCGAAGCATATCAAACCTAAAGCAAAGGTCGAAACGTGAACAACCCATAGACTATAACCGTAGGATTAATAACACGAGGACTTTCCATTTCAACCTGAGGAATATTTCGGATATGCCCATACTAAGGAGTAAGAGGCAGGCCAACGAAGAAGTAAGCTGTGTCAGCAGCACCTACAATAAGCTGGAAGTGGGCTGTAATACTGCTAAGAATATGGAGTTCTATTCCACGTGTGATAATAAAGAAATTATTACTGGTAAGTAGACGTGTGGGGTTACCAAAGGGAAACAGAACTATTCGTCTGTCTGTCACGAGGATTTCACTTTCAGTCTAAGGATTTCCGAATATCCAAATAGGTCGATAGCGCATCTTATTGAGATGGGGTATTTCAACTTTCATCACTCGAATAAAAAAGTTTAAAGAATTATAACATGTCTAAAATATATAATAATATTGCAATTTTACAAAGTCAGTTTACATACTGTCTATAGTTTACGCGAGTAGTACACATTTAAATAAAACACTTTAACGGTTTAAAACGCGATATATTAGTTAAACTTATTTGAAAATGATTTTTGGTCTCCCCGTGACCACGGCTGCTGCAAAGCATCGGAAACGTCGGGCCGAAGTTAAAAATCATTTTCAAATAAGTTTAACTAATATATCGCGTTTTAAACCGTTAAAGTGTTTTATTTAAAAGTCAGTTTACAAATAATTTTCAACCCAACGTTTCGTTTGCGTCGCAGCAGCCGAGATATTTTTCGAGTAAACTACAGACAGTATCAAACTCAAAATATTTTCAGCATATACGTGCCACGGCGGTTGGTATGAAAATGGAGCGTCTTTCGTGGTAACGACTCCAGTGACGCGGGACAGCACGGCCGCTAGACGGTACTGCTTCGTCTCGAGGGACGCAAGAGACGGCATGCTGTCCGTGGAGCAGAGCGCCACGAATTGCGAGCGGGGCATCGAACCTGAGCCTTTGTTATTCGACGCAACATTTACTGGTAAGAAATAACTATTTGTTATAGTGTGGTTTTTTCTAATCTTATATACTAGCTGACCTGGCTAATGTTTTTTGCTATGTGAAGTATTTAGAAGAAATTTGATTATAGAACGGCACTTGTGAGTTAATCTTAAAAGATTGACATACACTGTCGGGAGCATTTTTTTTAGATTATTTGCAGAAAAATGATTATTTCATATATAAAAGCAAAAAAGGGAAAAGATACCCAACGTTAGTAGTTTTTCGCATCCCACGCAACGGTAATCCTCAAATATGCCTTATTATTCCCATTTTATCTACATTTCCCATTATATTTTCTCTCCTATTGGTCACAGCCTGATGTTTAATTGCCTAAAGCCGTCCTCGATGAATGAACCAACACAATAAGATTTTTTTAGATTCCAAATATCAGTTCCTTAGATTAGCATGATTAAGGAAACAGACTCCTAGCTTTATAATATTAGAGTCTTTTATATTTATATAAAATTGAAATACATTTTTATTTGAAGAGAAGTACCTCAATTAGAAGAGAAAAGCTCGTCATTCATTCAGTATTACTCAACTGTTTTCAAACTTTATTTATTTTCAGGAAAGTGTCAAGACGAAACCAATAAGCAGCCTCCACAGAGGATACCATCACCTTACATAATATTTATAGCACCAATTGTACTTCACTACATTATACCAAGATGATTGATCATAACATCACTATAGAATAAAACTTTTTAAAACTTCACATCCCTATCCTGTAATTACACGTTTCAGTTAAGTAATCCTAAGGTATTAAGGCAAGCGATAACATACTGGAAATCACAATATGTTTTACGTAAATTATTCTAAGACCCTTCTCAGACTACGCTATAATGATTGTTATCTAATATCGCTATAGTAAATCAGTTAAGTGTGAACAAGCCCGTATATGGTTCGTGTAATTGTAAGCCTTTCAAGCCATTTAGAACTTAAACCCACCACACCGTTGTGGGTTAGTGTTCTATCATTTGAATCGATGGGTTAACGTGGTATTCGAGGAATGAGGGATGATGGTCCTTTTAAAATTTTGTCTGTTGGTGATAAAAATGTTTTTAGAACTTCCACATACTAAAGTAAGACAGTTCGGTTAACTCGGGCCTCGAACCAGACCTCGTCAGCAATCTAATGCACATACCACTAGATAGGAGGCAGTTGTAAGCTATTATTTTATGGTGTAGTCTGAGAGGATCTGATGTCTGATTTTGTACGAAAAACTATTTTATTATTTTAGTTTGCTCATTTGTAATGTAAGAAATAATTTATTTAAAATATTTTAGTTTAAAAAGTATCAAATTAATAAGAAGCTAAAAAAGTGCACATCTCTGAAAATAGTTCTTGAAAATCACAAATTTGTTTTAATGTATCAAAAATGTTTGAATGGAATCGGGTGATGTTGTAATGGTTGTGACTTAAGTAAACGTTCTAACCGGAACAAAAATTGAGTTTTATGTAGTCTGCAAACGATGTACCTAACGTTACTTTCTGTTGTGACTCTGTAATATTTTTATTTCATACATATTCAAGACATATTTGGCATTTTCTCAAACATGCTTGTAAATTTGAGTATTATTTTACAATTTTTTTTCAAATAAATCTAACTTGCTTTACTGGTCGAGCAGCGGCCGGCATTAGTTGTATGAAAATCCATATCTGTCATGTTTAGCGGCCAAATAAATTCAAAATCTAAAAAAAATTTCGTGTAATTTAAAAATGGAACGATATTCTACGCCGCAACATGGCGACCAAAGAGGTTATTTAACAAAGGTTTAATTAAAATTGCTAACTGGCTTGCACAAAGACTGCTGTTTAATAAAAAAAAACATTGAATATCTATTCATTGAATATTATCTAGTTGTTCGTCAACTTCGTCATTGGTTTTAAAGTTTTGAATTTTACTACTTAATTTTAATTTCCACTTAGTAATTGTGAATGTAATGGACATCAAAGCCTCTCTTGCCGACCGCTGCATCTATTATATCAATATTTAGAATTTTCCTTCAAATATCCCTGAAAAGTAAAAACTGTTTTTAGTTAACAGACTTTGTTGATAGACCTTTATTTCAACGGCCTTCGAATCATTTTAGCCTAACGCACATTAATAGTAAATACATTATCATTCCCCAATACATTGCTGTCGATTTCTTGTACAGTAATAAATATTTGAAGAACTTAACGATTTAAAACGTGAAATATTAAGCTGTGACGTCTAGAATGAGAATACAAATTTAGCGATTTTAATCATTGATTAGAAATGTGTTAAGATTAACGCGTTAAAGCTAGGTTTACTATAGACAGTACTACAATAAAGATTTGAGTTCCCATTTCAGGCTACAAGCGGACAATCTTGCGAAATAAAAGCGCATTTAGGAGAGTGAGTGAGTCATCTTTACTCTACAAGAAATCGATAAGACATAGCTTTAATTAAACAGCATTAAAGACTGTTACTGTACATTTGTTATTAAGGCGTTTAATAGTTTTGTAACGGTGTAATTGAATCGTTGAATACTGAAATATTAATTATGCTATGTAAAGCAAAAATGAAAACAATGGCAAATTGTATTGAATGTTGGAAGTTGTATGAACGTGATCCATCCAAACGGCACACTTCATCAGTCTTTTTAATTATAGACAGAAGTTTTAATATGAATTTATACTTTGAAATCGGTGAATGATATCGCAATTATAAAATAATTAATAAAGTAAAGTTAATTTCTTTAAAAATGTTCTAATGAGGTCAAAAGTTAAATTATGTAGAGTTTCTCAGTCTCAAACAGCGGAAACATCAATTACAGTTTGTATAAATATACATACATACACAAATAAATCGTTTTGTTTTTAAATAAAAACAAAACGATTTATTTTTTCGTTAAAGTGCCACCTGATGTGTTGTAAATGGTACAAACGTTTAAAAAAATCAATAGAAAAATTCGACATAAGTATCCCATTTCCCTTTGTAGCCAGCCCTTATTATGACTTTGATAGCTGACTCAAATATTAAAGGTAGTCAAATAATTCTGTTTTATCGGCCACGAAGGTTCTGGCTCATTGATTTCTCTTAATTGTATCGATAGTGGCTTTATTAATGATATACAATACGATTATTTCCAACATTTATCAAACTGACACTAGGGATACACAAGAACCGTGCACATAATATTATGCAATTAAAATTGTTATATTATATAGGTAATGTGAAGACGTTTTAAGCACTATATGAAATAATTTACTAAGAGCTAAACATCGAAAGTCATTGTTTTCATAGTTGTAAATGTTACACAATGAAGCTTAATATATGTACAAAATTATCATAACATGTTACTGCGTAGTTAGAATAATTTAGTATATTTCTTTATCGATCATATTATATTTAGGGATAATTTAAATGCATATTACGAAAATCCAATTCTGCTAGTTCGCGAGACAAGAGACCATCGAATTCCAATTGATTGATTCCAACGTGATATATCAATTTCTGGCATTTCTAAGTAATTCCATGAAGCATTTCACTGCCATATAACATTTCAACAAGATAATCTGTCGACTTTCTTCCTTTATCGTTGAGAAAACCATCAAGACGTGTATATTTTCTACCAGTCGCCCATATATCCACCAACCACACTCACACCAGAGCACTGTAAATAGCAGAATTGGGTTCCAGGTCTTAAAATAGTATCCTTCTGAGCTTCACCGACTTTATAGCCTTAGTATTAATTAGTATATTTATTTATAACGTGTTGCTGTTTCTCTTCTAGATCACGAATTCTCTTTGAATTTATATTTTCTATTTGTTTAAATTTTGTTTATAATACGTGTAAAATGAGGCTGAGGTTTTTTACATATTCCTATAATATATCACATAATCCTTTGCCAGCATCAGGCTAATTTATACAAAAACGTGTGTTTTTTATCTGTATTCTCAAGCTTTGAATGAATATATAATCTATAGTTATTTTTTATAGGTTTGCAAGCTCTGGTCCATGAAATTACAGTTACAATTATTTTTCTCGATCTCCTTCGACTTATTAAGATAATCTTTTTCCTATCGTGTAATTTCTTATTTTCACAACATTTAATTAAAGTATCTTATTGGTTGTATATTTGTGCATAGCTTGAGATATACATTTCAACTATTTCTAGTGACCATGGGTTATTTGTCGCGGGATATCAGTACCATAGCTTAAAATAGTCGTATAAGGTGATTAAAAAAGCGCCATGTAATGGCGGATTATTAAACTACCTACGTAATTTGTTACGAACAAGGGAAACGCCGCTTTCCTTCATCAAGCAATACTAATCTAAGTAAAATGTTCTAGATATAATATAGATAAGCGAACGAAATACTCAATTGAGATAATTGTATAGTTTAGCTATAATTAGTTATAAATTCGCAACAGCAATAATATATTTGTAATAAAGCTATTGAGCGTTGAATTTTTAATAGCGATTAGGTAGACCGTTGTGAATAATTGAGCTAGTGTTGTTATTTTTTAAAGAAAGAGATTATTTCTTGACGGGACAACACCGCGACTGGCAGTTATGTCGCGAAATATTACAGGAATGTGTTGTTTCCGATGTGTGATATAGGTATGGTAATTAAGAATATAGTCATCAGCTGCATGATAAATAAATTACAGTGCAAAATAGCCCATTTGTTTTTCTTTGTTGCCCTAAAACCGGCGGTGCTCCTACATAAAGTTCGTAATCAATCTTTATCGGAATATACCATTCGTGCTTCACAGGATAAATGCATTTACCGCGTGGGAAGAAACACCGAAGAAAATATAAATAGTTTTGGTCGAAGAGACCGCAGAACTTCTGTTTCACGAAATTCCTGTAAACACAGTGATAGACACGGAAATATGTCTGCTACTCTGGTCAGATGCTTCTTACGGTAATAATAATTAGTAAAAACGAAGATAGGACTGTATTAAGTAAGTATTTAATTAGAAACTTTGAGGGGCCTCTTGTGACGTCATTGTTTTTTTATATTATGTATATGATAATTATATGTAAAGGAAAAATTCTTGTACATATACCATTAAAATAATCTATCGACACTAGTATTATCAATAGGAGAGATTTAAAGATATTTTTAAATCTCAAAAGTATGTGCCCAATTCGATTCATATTTATGCTTTTTTTGTTCGGGCATATCTTTATCGTTTATAAACCGATTTTGTTGTCTGTTTGTTTGTAATTAATAAATGCAAAAATTCTATCATCATTAGGAAGTTCAAATTAATTCAGTAACACCTGTTGTTCACTGCTATAAGGGACTTACTAAAATTTTTATCAAGTAGCATAAGTCGAAAATTAAACGGTTTAGAACCATTTGTCGAATTGCACTCAGAAGCTTATTGTATACAATATTAAAGAACATATCAGTAACTACAAATCCCCTCGGTATACACATACATATTGGGTATGTGTTCATCTTTTTATCGTTGAGTCACAATAACGACTAGTCCCTACGTTTTATATCTTACAAATTTCATTAAGTCATAAAAATAATGAATGAATTGCGGTAATATAACGCAGTTCCAACCGCGAAGCAGAAATTAGTAAGCGTATCAAAATATTTAGTTTGCAAGTGTTTTCATTTTTAACAAAAACACAGAAAAACACGGTAAGACATTTTTTAATTAGTGAAAATCTTTCATTAACGCCAAGACATACAAAAATAACACACGTAGACACACGGTATAAAAAACAGGCGTTCATATGGGCACTCATCAGTATCTTATAACTATATTATAATATAAATATAGCATGAACATTTATAATTGTGTAAAAAACAACATGTCCATTAAACTGCTACATAAACCACTTCAATCTCTGCAAGACATCGTATTGTCTATTTTGTAAACATTCCGAACGTAGTTTACTGTTTAAAAATTTTGTAGTATTAATGTTCAAGTAAAAAAATACTTTTGATTATTAGAACTCTATAGGCTAAATTTATCATTTTATCAAACCAATCAACTTAATTTGTTTTGCGCCCAACTACTAGTGCCATATTTTGTAAATTTATGTAACCTTTCAAACGAATGAAATTGATGATTGATGAATGAATATTTATAAAATATATGTAGTTTATTCGTGTAAAATAAATCTTTTGTAATTCTGAAGTACGATTTAATATTAATTAATAATTTGTTCTAAAGTGAGTTGTGATTGCAATAACTTTTAGGGCCCTATTAATATAAATTTAATTGTAAAATACTTTTGAAAACATTAATATTTTTCACATGTTATTGCACATGAAGGCACTATATAATTTAAAAATCGAAAATAAATTGAAAAAAATTTTCGACTCGGGCAGGACTTGAACCGGCCTTAATACGCAAGTGTTAAGGTAGAAATTACATTGCGCGAGAGGTGCATGTATCGATAAGTTGAAAAAATTCGACGATGAGGTGTAGGACTCGGTAGCTCAATTGGTAGAGCAACAGCACGGAAAGCTGACGATGCCGGTTCAAGTCCTGCCCGAGTCGAAAATTTTTTCAATTTATTTTCGATTTTTAAATTGTAAAATACTTTTCATTCGACTTTAAACGCGAAACAAATGGCCTAACAAAAAACAAACAAATTGTTCCTAATCTTGTCGTGCTGCATTATATAGCATTGTTTTGACTTTTTTTTATGTTATATTATAGTAACTACTATTATACTAGAAAAAATAAAACTTAATTTATATTTAGTAAAATCTGTTCAGTTTAAAGACTGATTATCAATAAATTATTCACATTTAGATACAGTACTGCCATATTTTGAAGTTGTAAAGTCCCCATAGTAAAGCTAAAAGTTTACTTCAAACAATATAATATGTATTACTATTTAAAACATAGATACATTTTTTGCTTTTAGATCAGATTTATCAACAAAAAATACAAAATAACCCAAACGTAGTCATTAGTATAACAGTAGAAAAGATTTGAATTTCAATTATTTTTATAAAAAATTACGAATTTATTTAACTAGTATATTGCAACGCATTTTTTTTATTTAAGTAACACATTATTGCACAATACAAACAATACTATCAGTCCGAGGTACTATGTGCAATAAGCGATGTTTTTTTTTACATAAATATGATTAGCAAAATATTATAATAATTTAATTTATGCATACAAATTATATACACAATTTGGAGAAAACGTTTTAACTGGCAATTCGAACAATGCTGCCAACATGTGCAAACGTCAATGTCAGTTAGTGTGATGCTGTCACTGTCAATTATTTTCGTGTGTAAATGTGATGTGTGGACTATGTAAGTAGGTGCTGTTGAACTGTCTTTCAAAATACTAATGGAATGCTTGGATTGCTTGGACTTGTACGAGCGTCGTCAGTCAATAAGACCGTTCGTGTGTTAGAATTCGTAAGGTTAACAAATAAACTGGTTCAATTCATTCAAGTTTATGTACTCCGTAATAAACTAACGCGTAAACACTGAAAAAAATTGGGATGCGTCGTAGTTATGTGAAAGTGACAGTCGTATAATATTTTTTTGTGAATCGCAATGTTATTTCGCATAGTTTCAGGTACCGCCACATAAATATTGTGATGCGAACGTAGTCATTTGCGATCGGGAATCATTATGTTCGAAGTGGGATAAACTGTACGAGTTGTTGATTAGCTGTTAGAATGCAAGACGAGTGTTCAGAGGAGACGAGGAACTTCGGCGAACAGCGGCGGCGTCCTACGAAGGTGCTGAAGATTGCTGAGAGCTTCACGAACTTGGATGAGACGGCTAAGGCTGGTCGCTTCGTGCGGGGCCCCTATTCAAAAATCGGGAGACGTTTTCAAGAGAATGGGGGTCGTAGTAGACGCGGGTGTTGTGATGATGAGTGTGCGGAGTCAAGTGGTAGTGATGGTGAAAGACTTGGTGATCGCAGGGTGACAGGGTCGTCATGTACGGCCCTGCGGACGGCTGTAGCAGCGCTTTACCCTTTTGACGACTTCATATTGGAGAAAATCGGAGCAGGCTTCTTTTCTGAAGTTTTCAAAGTAAGTGCATTTTACACATTATCCATATCTTACTAAAAATATATATCCATTCATAAGATCTTTATTTAATCCAGGTAACATTTTCTGTTCGCTAAGACTATTACTATTTCTTATCTGTATAATATCCTTATAGCTCCCTTAGTTTGATAGGAAATAATTGTAAATCAAAATATAAATACTTAAGGCATACAATAAAACATTAACTATAAACACATTGTCTAATAAGATTTTATCTCAGGGAAAGATTACTTAAAAATAAGATAAGAATATCTAGACTATCTAAATAAATAATTTTAAAAATTTTAACCATCCTCATAAGTACACAATTAAAAGAATATCACGTTTAAAAAGCATTATATACAGCAAAATGACAGTTTTAACAAATTACTGAACAAATTTTACCAAATAAATATATACATTTAAGGCTGGATATCCTAATTTATTTGACAATTGTTAGTGACCTTGGCCATGGAACAGTAGATTTTGCGGTAGACACAATAATTAGTTACTCATTTAGGTATTAACAGTGACAATGACTTTTCAATGTTAAATGCGGCTTACACAATAGGACGAGGGGTTTTAGTGAAAAACACTTTATTTTTCATGTTACACCTAATTTGTTTTTATAGTTTCAACATATTCATTTACAAGTATTATTTTAATTACCGTTTTCATGGTTATAACATCATTAACATATTTACCTATAGACAAATATTACAGAGAGAGTACAATAGAGTTAAACATTATAGAATAAAAATATATTCAATAATTAGCAAGAGTCGAAACCTACAACGTCTCTACTTAGCATATTCTGCACTAAGAATTTTCTTGAAACTGTATCTTTGTATGTTAGCTCAAGTGATGATAAGGTAGATGACATACTGTTGACATCATTTTTATTTACTTTTAAGAATTCCGTAGAACAAAAAAAGTAGGTGTGTAAAAAAAATGCTTTAGAAAAATTTACAAATTAATACTATGATTTCCTTCAGGTTATTCTAGAATGAATAGTCTAAAAAGAACATTAGGCCTTTGTTATGCTTTAAAATTCTTAATTTATAAGAATATTTAAGGAGATAAATATATAATAATAAATACAAACAAATATAAAATATAAAATAATAACAAATATAAAATAAAATAGATAAATATCATAAGTATAATGAATATAAAATAACTAAAGTTTTAATAGGATTCTTACTACTTTCTCGTTTTCTTTAAAGAGATTTTAGTTCAACGTATTGTTAGGTAAATTTAAGAGTAGGGTGAATTTACGTTTTTGTGTAATTTTTTTTATTCTATTCCTTATCAGCTCAATGGTTAAAGGCATTGCTTATTTTCGTTTTGGCATGAAATTTGAAAAAAAATATGTTAGATTAGCTCAGCTAAGCAAATAGAATATTGAAAAAGAGTAAAAACTAAATGGTTTTAACCCCATGGCCCACATTAATGTCTAATCTTCTTAGATTTAAATTTACCTAGAGGAATTCTAGCATTTCTATGGTGGTATACTGTTTTAATGTTACACGTATTTTTATACTCATCAGCTGCACATACAACAACTGATAACTAATTTCACGACAAAGTTCACAGCCCGGCTAGCTCAGTCGGTAGAGCATGAGACTCTTAATCTCAGGGTCGTGGGTTCGAGCCCCACGTTGGGCGCTTATTTTTATTTTTTTTATTGACTATTCAAAAACACATTTTACGTATATAAGCCTTCGTTCTGTACTATGTTTATTTGATTAATTGTTTTTTTTTTAATTTTTTAAGAATATGCATAATTTTATATAGATGGTACATTCTGAAGTTCAAGGGGGGAAGGAAAACTATCAGACGGTTACAGGATATTGCCTTCAATCTTAAAACAAGGTTGGCTTTACGTTTTACGACACCTTGTTGTCGTGTATTATAGACTAACTTTTGCCCCTGGCTATACTCGCGGCATTATAAACCTGACAGTAAAATATGTAATATGAAGCTAGAAACATTAAAAGATAATTTAATGATGTACAATTGTTTTAAACTGTAGAAGTGTATTTTATTCTGTCCAAAATACACAATGTTTTTTTTGTAATATATCTTGTAAATACTGTCTATAGTTTACGCGAGTAGTACAAACTTAAATAAAACACTTTAACGGTTTAAAACGCGATATATTGGTTAAACTTATTTGAAAATCATTTTTAAGATTTTTAACGTCGGGCCGAAGTTGTGTTGGTGAGTTGTTGAAAATGATTCAAAAAAGTTTAACTAATGTATCGCGTTTTAAACCGTTTAAGTGTTTTATTTAAATATATCTTGTAATCAATAAATAAATATCCTTTGGTTATGACCAGTAGTCTGCGTTAAGACAAATTTATAAAGTCATTTAAAGTAAGCTTCTTTTGTTCCTGTATCGTCTTTTATTCTAACTCCAATAAAAATAAAAACTTCACACAATAATATTAAAAGGGATAAAGATATTGTCTCTACTTTACAAAAGTTTAGATAATAAAATACTGTTAATCGTTTCAATCGCGAAACATATTATTATCTAACTTATTTCAAACTACTCGCCTTAAGGTGCAAAAACATTCGAAACGTCGGGTCGTGTTTAAAATAAGTCAATTAAGTATTTTCGCGTTTTAAGCCGTTTTTAATGAGATTAGGACATCTTAAAATAACGCAGCGTTAAACATGAAGATCATAATCATTAAGAGATTGTTTTTAGGTTATTCGGCATGCCATCTATTTCGGGTAACACCACAGTGGAATTGCCAACGGCCGACGTCGGTCCTCGACCGCATTTCGTTAATTTACGCAAAAACATATTTTCGAAACACTTAGGTAATGTTAATCTTAATTGCCTACATTTTCATAAAATAAGAGGTGAGTTGCATAATCATTAAAGTTTAAGGGGTTTGATAAACAAGCGACAAACGAAGTAAATAAAACACTTTTATTCGTTTAAAACGCGAAAAGCCGTCCTTCGGTTGCCGACGGCTTTGCGAAATATCCGTATGCTCCGGTCGTAGTTAAGTTACCTAATACATTTCGTAGGTTCAAGCGTCGAAAGAGCTATGTACCGCTCGCGTAAACTATAGCTAAGGTGGCAATTTATCATAGCGAAAGTTACAATATTAGCTTCTAGAACATACCACGATTGACGTTGGTGAAAAATATAAGGAACAAGAGAAATTTGTTTTTGTAAAAATATCTCGCGTCTCGCTCACACTTTACTTTTTCGCTCACCGTCCTAAAGGAGAAGAAGAGATAAAGATAAAGACAAAAGGGGTAATATTTTTCTGAAGCGTGTTGTACAGGTCTGGAAATTATGCATATTGTAGGGGTGGTATGGTGGTATATCGAAATTCCGTCACAAGTCGTCGTCCACAAATAATAAGCCGTCTAGTTAAATCGAGTTGCAGTTACAGTCTTTCAAATATTGTCTATAGTTTACGCGAGTAGTACACATTTAAATAAAACACTTTAACGGTTTAAAACGCGATATATTAGTTAAACTTATTTGAAAATGATTTTTAACTTCGGCCCGACGTTTCGGATGCTTTGCAGCAGCCATGGTCACGGGGAGACTGTGTTATAGTCTTTCGATTTTCCAAAACAGGTCGATAGCGCATCTTGTTTAGATGTTATAACATATAACTAAGAATTTCAACTATTTATATGAACCCTAAGCTTGTCAGTCCTCCACTATTATAAAAAAGAGTAAAGCATTACATTATTGTGCTGTAATTAAAGCGAATGGCCCGTTCTAATTTACTTGCCGATTTCATTCGCCATAGTGAAGTCAAGTATAGTCTCAATATTTCGTTGCAAATTGCAATAATTGTTATCATAAACAAAAATATCACCCTTATCTATACATTCGCATTTATCTCCCGGTCGTACGCCATAATAATTATGTCATCTCCGTTATTACATCGGCCTTTAGTAACCTCAATGATAAACCGCATTTCGATAAGTCCTTTGTAAATTGCAGTTCGTACTTGCTGTGTTATTAATAGCCATGTAATCACATTTCGTTGAGGGTCAACATAAGCATTAATTTATCGATGACGAATCTGAAATTAATATTATTTATAAACACTTAAAACGGCAATAGCCAGTTACAAAATTGGATATAAGTACACATAGTTAAAGAATTACACTTAAAAATAGGTTATATATACCATGGCAGACAATTACCGTAAACCGTAGTACAGCATGGTCATAGGAGCCTGGATATTAAGTATTAGTTAACACGGACACGTTAAAATAATTCACTTTCAACGGTTAGATTATATATTTTTACTACTACTTGACGTTTCGGATGCTTTGCAGTGGTTTTGGTCATGTGGACACTTTTGGTATTTATGTCGTATTTTAATCCGTTTAAAAAGCTTTTTTTTTAATTAGCCTAGCCTATAACAAAAACCGCTATTTGTTTTTAATGTATTTATACGTTAGTTAAATAAAGGTATCATGTATGTACTTCTAATTCTAACTAAAGCAACTTTGTCAGCTATGGCTAACAAGCAAAAATAATAACTGTCCACAGTGGGATTGTAACCCACACTGCTCTGTGCCTATCTAAGCTCCGTTTAATATAATTTGTATTTCATAAGTAATTTAGTAGTGTAGAAAGTGCGCCTTACTATACATATCTATTTTCATAATTCTTGAAAACTGTTAGCGTTTAAGCGTATTCTATTAAATTAAAAATCTATGCAACTGGCGAGATACAAACCCAGTATATACTGCAACCGACGACGTGAGGTTGTTGTGCAGAGGAACCGGTCACACTTGCAAGTTAATGGCGCCCGTTTCGAATTCTTGGCCTTCACCTAAATCGAGATGAATGAAAGCTCGAAATAAAATATTCGTGTTATTATTTATTCATCTAGAAACTCGATTTTACAACATACTAATTAGTTAATAAAATTTTATGTGACGCATAAAGATCGTTTTAGATTGTCGTTCGTTCTTGGTCTTACAAGAGCGTCTCCAATATGAAGGGG